GGCGGCAGCGGGTGCGGCTGGGCCGGGCCTGCGGCCGAGGCTTCCCCTCGGCGCCCTTCCCGGAGTCTCCCGTGAGGCCGTTTTCATAACCGCTTTAGAAGCTCCCGTCTGCAGCCTTCTAGTTTTGCTTCTTGGCAGATTGTTAGGATCCACAGAGGTATTTTTACCAGAGGAACCCAAAGGAGGGGCCTAGGTGCGGGCCACGGGAGGGAGGTGCAGGCAGGGAAGGCTTCCTGGAGGAGGTGGCATTTGGACACGCGAGGCCACCAGCAAGATGGTGAGAAGTCGGGCTCTGATGTTCCGCTTTTTAATCTTACACTGAAAGGCGACGGGGATCCCTGGAGAATTTAACTGGGAAGGTAGCGTGCTCAGGATGACACTCTATTGTTTATTTTTTACTATTCAGTATGCTGACATGGTTTAAAAAGAAAAACTAATGCTGTGGAAGGGTGCCCGGTGTAACATTTCCCGCTGACCTAATACCTGCCCCCTCAAACCACCACTCCCTGAGTTTGTTGTGTATCTTCCCAGGGCCCTGTCTTCAAATATAAGAAAATAGGAAAACAGGGGACTCTGTTCTCCCTCACCCCCTTTTCTCACAAGTGACTCCATGCTCATTGCGGCGCCCTGCCTTGTTCCCTCAGCGCCTTATCTTGGGGAGATCGCTCCAGGTCAACATGTTAAAAGTGCCATCGTTTTTTTCTCGTTTTCTTACGGCTGCGTAGTTTTCCATTTTCTGGCTGGCCCACGATTTACTTAACTTGTCCACCATTGGTGAACATGCAGGTTGTTCCTGATCTTTATTTTTGTGTTACAAACAGCTGTCATAAATCGCATCGGGCACGGGAGACGGGCATTTCAGGAGGCTCAGTAGGGTGTGTGGAATGGATGAGTGAGTGGAGGGTCCAGGCTTAGGAGCAAGGAGTGTGAGGAAGGGTGGGACGGACAGGGAGGCCAGTGGTGAGGCGGCTGCAGTGTCAGGATGATAGAAGAGGAAGAGGCTGGAGGGATGGGTGTTGGGGAGATCCAGCAGGACTGGGTGACCCCTGTCATGCTGGGGATCAGGGGACGGCAGAGTCAAGCCTGACTTCTTAGGACAAGTGAGGACAGTTACTACGCACGTGTCATAGATGAACAAAGCTCCACATTCATTGGGAAATACAGGCACAGGATTGAAAGCCACCACTAGCCAAGACGGTCAGTAGAAATACAAAGGAGGAACCCGTGGACTAAGGAATTGCAATTAGAGTCTCGTTAAGGAATTAATTTAGGACAAAGACATAAGGATGAGACGCGGTCCCTTAGTAAACTTTAGATTTTCCACTCATGGGAGGCCCATGTTCCCTCAGTGGGCTTTCCAAGGCACCACGTGGCGTTTTTACATTTGCTTTTAACAATAATTAAAAGAAGCTGAGCGTGTTCCAGGATAAAGGGCGCACACGTGCGTGAAGAGGAGTAATCTCCAGGCCTCTGACCCCCATCATTAGCGGGGTGGGGCTGTAGCCAGGCCCTAGTTTGTACCCTGTAGAGTTTTGACTAAAGAAACCCCTTTTCTGAAGTGTTTGCGCTTCTCCTTGTGACTGGTCCCTTGGTTTCTTTGCCGTGTGGGATGGTCTGACTGGTTGGACAGTGATTTCCGCTGTGGGGTTTGCTAACTCCAGGTGCTTACTGTGTGCTGGGTGTTCCCTCCTTCACTGCAGATGGTCCCCATCCCTGCCGGCGTGTTTACAATGGGCACGGATGACCCTCAGATCAAGCAGGACGGGGAGGCGCCTGCCAGGAGGGTCACCTTGGATGCCTTTTACATGGACGCCTATGAAGTCAGTAACTCGGACTTTGAGAGGTTCGTGAACGCCACCGGCTACGTGACCGAGGTAATGGGGCAGGGGGCAGGCCAGCTGCTTTTCCACCACATTCCCTGTGCACCAGCATGTGCTACATGCTTTGCATATTAGCATCTCATTTAGTTTTAGCATCTCCCTGCGGCAGGTTACTCTTTAGGTGGCAAACTGAGGCTTGGAGAAAAGGGTCTGGCGTTGAGTCGCAGGGCTGGTTGGTGGGGAGCTGGGATGCCAGCCTGACCAGTGTGACCCAGGGCCTGTGCCCTTCGCCTGTATTCTGCTGTATCGTGTTAGTGCCTCAGTACGTCCGGCAGTGCCACTGCCCACTGGGATTTTGGGATAACAGGTAGCACATAAAGTGAGGCCGCTTTTCTGCTCAAAGAATTGCAGTGTGCTTGTTCCAGAAGTATTACGTTTCCCAAGAGACAGGTGCAGAACTGCAGCTTTGCATTTTCCTGGTTGTAGTCCAGCGCCCAACTCACAGGCGACCCCGTGGCAGGCAGGGCTGGACCTCATGCAGACACCCGTCATACCAGGGCCTGTAATTCTGTCACCTGCAGAAACAAGCCAGACACTTTCTGTCTCATTGTTGCTGTTGACATGACATTTCTTTAGGATGATGATGATGATGATGGTGAGACCTGCCGCTAGGTCTTGTTTAACACGTTAATACAGAGCAGGCGTGTATTACCTCAGCACAAACTTGTTCGATGGCTATTCTGATATGAGTAGTTTTCTTGATAATCGTATTGACTTTATTTTATGCACTCAAACATTTCACTCTGAGAAGGAGGCCCTTTAAGCTTCATACTGCAAAGGGGTCCAGGACGCAGGAAGGGTTAAGAACCCCTGTTCTGGATAAAATGCTCCCTGTTTCTGCCGCTTCACGGTTTTCTGACCTTCCACTTCGCTTTCCATCACTCGCCTCTCGCTCGCCATGCCTCAGCCCCGCTGCTCTCGCTTCTTTCTCTGGACAACTCGGCATCTCTCACCCCAGGGGCCCCTGTGTCCCCCTCCCTGGAGCGTCCTGCCCCCGCCTGCCCCCGCTGTGCATGGCTGGCTGCCTGTCATCCGTGAGTCGACTTGGCTCACACGTCCCTCTCAGAGGCTGCTCTGCTCGCTCCGCCACAGGGAGCCTTTTGTCGTATTCTTTGCCTTACAAGGTCAAGTGAAGTTGTGGTTATTTTCTTGCTGTCTTTGTTTAGCTGGATTTTTGTCTGTTTCCCCTCCCCCCATGTAAGCCCTATGAGGACAGGGACCACGCCTCTCTAAAACTGACCTGTAGCTCCATTTACCCCAAAGCCCACACAAGGTAGGCGTTCGGTAGGTGTTGGATGAAGGGTTAGGTACCAGGCTAGGTGTGGCCACGGGGAGCCCTGGAGGAAGAGCGGGGATAAAGCAAAGGCCAGAAGGTGAGCTCCACTCAGGAGGAGTTTGAGGCACTTGCAGGGCCTGAAACACAGGGACCAGCAGGCAGGTGATGTCTAGTGA